TTATTGCCAGATTTGAAAATAAGAGGCTACAACCAACTTTGATTTTAAAGCTACATTGATAAACACAGAAATTTCATCATTTATATGACTGTTATATGATTATTGAAAATAAAAACGAGAAATATAATGTCTGGCTAATACGTAAAAGGTATGACCTTCTAGGTAAGACCATTTTCTACCATGAGATTGCCTTAAATTAGAAATTTCTAATTATGTATGCACATGCTAAAATATGACTACTCCAGCAAATGAATAATTTGCATATACAATGATTTTAATCAAAGGTACTTATTTGATTGCACAATTATCTGTTTTGCATACACAAAATTTGAATTCTGTACATGTGATTCTGCATTTGTACATGTACCCAATTATTTTGTTGGTACAACTTTGAAATCCCCATTTGATATATTAGGGAAGCAGATCTCTTCCATTTATAGTATGGTGGCTTTACTTTTCTTGACTAGTAAAACAAAATTCTAAGGAAGACCATAAGAAATGGAACCTGTTCACACTTAGAACTGAGGGAAATGTTACTATATTTCCAATTTCTACTAAGAAAGCAGAAATATTTTTTTCACACACAATTGTGTTGCTTTCTGCCTTTTATTTGGAATTTATTTCAAAATTTACAGAACATTTTGGTTCACAGGGAGAACCCTTGAGTGGCAATCACATCGAGTTCGCTCAATTTTCCACATTGTTAGCTCCTAAATGATGGAAGTAGGCTGTTGATCCCTACTACTCTTAAGCAATAGAGAAAATTTAGAACTGGTAAAAAGTACCAAATTTATAGTCCTGAAGACAGATGTTCTCTGCAGAGTCCCTGCAAAAAATATAGGCTGAAAAGCAGTGAGGCAAAACATTTTATTTCATTATGGTCTCTCTGGACCATCAGGAAGCTTTTTGGCCCTCTGCGAGGGCAGTGAGGGACAGTAAGCTGCGTAAATTGATGACCGCAGTGATAACGCTCTGGGTAAGTGGGAGGGATGTTTTCTAGTTAAGTCATTCTGGCAGGTCCACTGGGACACAGCCTGTTTAGAATCCAAAGTTATTCACAACCTCACAATAACAGACGAGAGATAGATCATCGGTAACTGCAGGAGTCTTTTGCCTCTGAATCTTTCAGACCAATAACCTTTCAGCATACTTTGAGGACAGGCCTTGAGACTCACACTGAGATATAATTTGGTAACAGAAGTAGACATAAAATCATTGCTGTGCCTGCTGCTGTCTGTCTGCATATGGTTGTGTACTTGTAAGAAAGTGATTTTATATTAGAGGAAGAATAGAAGAAATTAAGCATCTGAATGATCATACCTTTCCCAACACACTCGAGGCAGATTTGTAATCAGATTATAGAGCGATCCTCTCAAAGCTTCTACATGCTTGAACTTTGAATACTGGCACCTACCTAAGTATTGAATTTCTGTAGCAAACTTCATACTGGGTACTCAGACGACCCCTTGTCACTGACAGCAGCCTGTCAGCTCTGTCCACAGTCTCCTGAACACTACTTTGTAATCTGCTTTACCCCTGTGTTTCCTTTTTTTCAATACTCCCTTCTCTTTATTTTTAAAAATTATTTTAATTTATTTATTTTTTTGACACCAGGCTTCGCTATGTCACTAAATTGGCCTAGCTGGCTCTGCCTTGTGATCCTCTGGCCTCACCCTCATAGAGTGCTGGGACTACAGACTTATGCTACCAGGCCAACTGAGGTACCTATTTGTAATCTCTCCAGAGAGCAAATAATTATAGGAATTAAAACATTCCTGTCCAGCAGTATCTGGGAGGGAAAGGGTCCAGGATCCTCTGTGGACACTAAAATCCACAGATGCTTATTTCCCTTATATCAAGCACTATAATATTGGTAAGTATCCTACCTACATCTTCCTGTGCACTTCAAATCATCTCTAGATTACTTATAATGCCTAACAATGAAAGGTTATGTGAATAGTTCTACTGCACTGTAAAGGAAACAATGCAAATAAAAAAGTCTATGTGTTCGGTGCAGATGCAATTTGTTTTTCCTTCAATACTTTGACACATTTTGGCAGACACAGAACTGACCATAGCGGCCAGAGAGAGCCCTGTCTGACAGAGTAGATGGGCACCTCCCCCCGCTATTCTTGCCCTTGCACTGTCTCCCTGTACTGACTCTGGACTGGTCATCATCTAAATTTTAGTTTGGTTTGGTGTGGTTTGATGTGGTTTGGTTTTGAGACAAGGTCTCCCTATATAGTACAAGCTGGTCATAAACTCACTTTATAGCCAAGGCTAGCCTCAAACTTGCAGAGATTCTTCTGCATCAGCCTCCCAAATGCTGGGATTATAGGTGTATACTACCATGCCCAACTACCATATTACTTATTTGGACAAATGGGACTTTGGCAAGCATGATACAAGAAGAGGTACTTAAAGGACTTGCCCTTTAGAGTACTCCTTGGACCTGACCTGCATGGCTTACGAATGCCCCGCTATTCTGCTAGGGCCAAACATCCCATGGAAAGCTCCTGAAGGAAGACTCATCCTATAAAAAGAGGGGCCATGGAGGAGAATCTAACCTCAGTGCACCTTCTAGTTAAATGTGGTCCTATGAGTGACCCAAACGACCCCTTAGAGAACAGAATAGTTACCCAGTCAGTCCAATAATGGGGAGTGAAATTATCAAAATTTGTGTGTTATGTTTCATCTTGACAGATTCTGATATCTCTGTTGTTACCCAAGTGCTAGAGTTTTTTCAGCTCCACAGGTGATTCTGGTTTACAATGTGGTTTAAGAAACTCTCATGTAAAGAAAGTTTCAGCAGCAGAGGAGACTGATTTTGGAACTTTTATTTCCATAGTCTTCTTTGGGTTCCTATACGGCTCCAGCGTTTAGAAAATCCTTCAGAGTTCTGCACTTTAGTGGAGTAAGCCTTTTCCCTCAGTATTTTGGGTATTCACCTCCCTCACCTACTCCAGCATCTATCCCGTTTTCTCATTAATCACTTTGAGATGTGAGCTCACTGACCAATTAAAATACATGGCATTCATAATGTAAACAGGAATATGGTGCAAAGCCAAAAACACTTTCTTACGCTTTCAGGGCAAACATGAAATACTTTGAAACACAGTGATGATAATAATATCTACTTCAGTTAAGAATGTTCCATGACCCTTGTTCTCTGCTTTCTAAATTTTGCTGTTATAAGGGCAGCTGGGATGTGTGAAAACAGAAGGGAAATAAGGAGAAATTTTGTATGTGTGTATATACAGGATAGTTAACATAGTTGTTCTACTGTCTTCTATTTCTTTGCTGAAAGAAACTGTCAGTGAGTCCTTGATTGATCAATATTGCATGTCTCTATCTGTGTTCATGAGAAACCACTTTGAAGATAACATTATGTAATACAACAAGCATTGTTAATTTCCTACCACTTTGTTTGTAACCCTGTATTGTCTGTACTGTTCTTTTGCTATTTTGTAAAAGGTTGTCTGTCTGTTCATGTTTTCCTCCTTTTATTTTTAAAATAAAAAAGTAAATAAATTTCCCTGTTGTGATATGGTGGTATGATGGCCTTTGAAGAAATTGCAATGCTAGGAAAATAAACTATTTAAATAAAATATTCTATTTGTCTCTAAAATTATTTACTCAAAATGTTTGGCTTTCAGCTGAGCCTGTACAGTTTCCTCCGGATTAGTCAGGCGATGTGTACAAAAATAAATGTGAGGAAGTAGTGAAGACCAAGTCTTTCTGTGCGCAACTGAATTAGAACCGAGCAGTTTGCTCCAGCCCTGGGACTGCTCTTTGCACAGTGAAGAAGACTTTCAAAATCCAACCCCAATCAAAGACTTGAAAATTAGTGTCTTGGATGGAGTGACCTGGAAAACAGGCACTGGGACACAATTACTCACATAAATCCACCCTGGTGTTCACAGGGTGATCCTAAACCAGGGGCTTTGACATCATTTCAGAGCCGGTCTAAACCGACTTCTGAGTCCTAACCCAGACTTTTCCCATAATCTGCCTTTTAACGAGCTGGACCAGTTGTGGTTTGATGAGTACGGATGGAGTATTTTACCTCCAATATTTGCTTTTCCTTACATCACACTCCACACAGCGTCCCATTCAGTTGTCCTATTCTGTTTTCTTACATAAAATCTGTGCAAATTTTCTTACATTTCCATGATTCTTGTTATCTCTCTTCTAACCAGCTACCACCTGGGCCAACCCGTATTTTCACAAGTAGTGTATGCAGTCTGATGAAAGGCAGAAGATGGAATGCAGAGTGTAGTTATGCTATGTTTTTCTTTATTGCAATTGGGTGGGAGAGGAAAATGCATCCTTATATTTACCAATCTGCTCTAAACCATCAAGAAAGTAAAATTGGTAACAACCTAATATAAAGTCTTCTAAGTCTGGTGACATGATAAGAATCCACAAAAAAACTAATATTGTACTGTAAAAACACAGATATACATTAATTTTATTCCTCCAACATAACATAAAAGGGCAGCAATTTTAGCAGAGAAAGGTTGATGGCTAAACTCATTCAACTCAGTTTTCAATAAGTAACCATAGTAATTCAGAGAATTTATGTAAATTAAGGCATTTAAAGTCTTTTGCTTCCCTTGTAAAATTAATGGAGAAACAAAAAAAAATTATCGATGTCAAATTTTGGTTATTTTACTATCAATGTACACACAATGTTATTTGTAACTTCTGAAATAGCATCAAGATATTACTTTTCTAGTTGAATGAAAGATTGTTAAAGTTCAAATAAGTGAAACATCTGTGAAAATAAAAATATCTTTCGATAAAATCTGGTTGAAAACTAAAATTTTGGTTTTAACTGGAAAAATAAGAAGGAACAAAATATTCTAAAAGACTAATAGATTGCTTGAAGAAAACTAATTCAGCAAACTTAACCAACTTTAAAATAGGGAAAATAAATCCTTTTGAATCTGGGAAAGAAAAGCATTCCATGAAGATTTAAGAAGAGTAGGAAATCTTACCAGAGTTGTCTAGTCAATGGATAGGCACCATTATCTGAAACAACAAAGATGTGTTTTGGTATGGCAACCATAAAACCTAAAATATTTCAATCATCTTCAAACACAGTACAGCTAGGAAACATATTTATACAAGAAAAAAGTAAACAAGTAAGCAAGATACCCTGTCTGATCCCCCTTGGTTATTGTAAATGAAAATATTTCATCACCACCATTTTATAATCCAAATAGATAATGAGTTGTTTTTCATAATCTTTTTATGGACATATGTAGCATATGTATATTGTGCAGGAGTAGTTTCTTCTGATATATGTGCTTAAGAGGTAGGCAGAATCATAGATTGAACTGTATATACTCTTGGTCCTGCTATGAGTAAAATTTCAATATATTGCAAATTGATTACAGGAGAAAAAAGAAAATACTCAAAAACTTTAGTATAAATCTACAGCTAGAAAGGAGAAAGAAACTCTGGTATTTTACTGCACTGTAGCATGACTATGGTCAACACTATTTTATTGAGTATTTCAAAATAGCTAGGAGAGAAGATTATTTGAAAAAAAAATGTCTGAGGTCATAGGTATGCTAAATACCTTGACTTGATCATCACAAATATATACACATATTGTAACATTACACTCTACACCACAAATATGCACAGTTACTATGCATCAATTAAAAACAAACCATAAGGAAAGAAAGCAAAATTAAAAAACCAATTGTGGAGCTTTGTTGTGACCCCAGAGATGATAGCAGGAGTGTAGGAATGAACTTACTCCAAACTAAGTGATTTATGTCCTGTACATGTACTGTATTTTAGAGAATATTTCTCTTAAAATAAGTTTCCTTAGGACTTTTCAGATGCAAATTTATTCAAATAACATTTAGAATTATCCATCTACACCTTCATATTCAACCTTTTAATTCTTAAAAAAGGTCTATTTTTTATAAAAGAACTTTTAAATTAGAATGCAGGAACAGAATACTAAGTTGGATAGCCTCCCAATATTGTGATCATATGATTTATTTGGAAATAGCGAAGAAAAAACATGTAATGGTGTCTATCTATCTGTTGCTGTTATCTATCTGTCTATCATCTATCTATCTATCTATCTATCTATCTATCTATCTATCTATCATCTATCCATCTATCTATCTATCATCAATTTGTGTCAGCTATACAGATGGTAGGCATGAATTAGGTATTTTTGTATTGACTTACAGAAATAAATGTAGAAATATTTATGAAAACTAAATACAAACATATATATATTCTGAACATACAAAATTGTTTGCAATGAAATTCTTAAGTATTCAACAGTATCAGAATGCTTACATGCATATATAGTACATGTCATATATCTCTGTCTTGTACACATGAACATATAGAGCTATGTACACAAGTAGTGAGAAGAATTCCCCTCTTTTCTAATTACATCAGACTTCTTCCTTTGGCATTTTCTTTTCCTCATGTTAAGGCTTTAGTTCTTAGTTCTCATATCAGTCACAAGTGAGTCACAGTTCAGACTCAAGAGGCAAAAGTGACTGGTAGGACGAAAAGTAGGTAAGGTCAAAGGGCATGGGTGACATATAGCCCACACACACCCCTGAACCCCATGCATATGCCAGATTTTCCCTGTAAAACAAGAAGGTTAGCATCAACCATTAGGGTTAATTTCATTTTTCTCATGATAAACAAATAATTCTTGCTTCAACCATCATTATTTGTGAGCACTTTATTTTCTTAAAAACATGAAAGTGAAAATACACCTTAAAGTTTATCAAAAAATGTACCAGGTATTTTAAAACAACAGCAAATAATCTCAGGAAAGAAAAAAATGCATATATAGATATATATAGCTATATATACGATATAGATATAGATGATAAAATGCAACAAATATTCTTTTAAAAGCAAAATTGAAAAAAATACAATCCAGAAATCCCTACCAGCTAAAATTGGAGAAAAAATTGGAAATGAGTGGGTACAGTTGTGACATTTTGGTTTTATGACACCTGTGTCTATCTTAGCAAAGAAGAGATTGCAAAGACAACACAGTCTCTCCTGAAAGTTTCTCCAGAAGGTCTTGGACTTGAGTTTATACTCTCCAGAAGGAGGGAAAAATTCTAAGAAAGGATTTTTAAAAGGTGGGGGATACATGGAGATTGCACATACAGCTCTTGTAGGCAGGAGGTCAAATTCACAACTATAAAACATATGAGGAAATCTTGTGAGCAAGTTTGTAAGCCTGGCTTTTTCTCAGTATGAGAAAGAGCAAGATGAAAAATACGCAGGTGTATAAAAATAGAAGCATCAAACACAGACTATGACATAAGTATATTTAAAATTATTGAAAAATAAAAGTCTGAGAAACAATATGAAAGAAATAACAAGATAGTTTTCTATCAGTACTGTTTAAAATATTTAGAAATAAGAGCATAATAATTGAAATAAAGAGAATCAACAGACATAATAAACACTAATAAAGAATTAGCTAATGGGAAGACAGAGCTAAGGAAAATATCCCTAATGTTGCCAGAGAAACAAAGAAAAAATAAGCATGAGCTAATGTATAGAGTATATAATAGTGTGAGATGGTCCAACAGGAGAAAGCAAAGGGATTGGGAAAATCTTAACAGAGAAATATCTGAAGGCTCACAAAATGTGACTGCACACACTGGTATATGAATTGATATATGCCTCCCTCTCTTTCTCTCACCTTCCCTCTAGAAAGCTAAACATAGCTTGGATAGGATAAATACAGTTAAATCCCACTCACATACAAAGAAGTATATGTGAGGTTAAATACATTTAGGAGAAAAATGCATATTTAAAAAGGAGCAAGGAGCTGACAGCCAACTTTCTAAAAGAGAAATAGATGCTTTAAGACCCACGACTCATGTCTCAAAATTGCTAAGGGAAAATAATTACTATTTCAATAGTCTTTACTCATCTCTGTTTTATATATAAAGATACTAAATGAGACAGTTTTAAATAAAAGCCATGATTTTACTATCATCACTACTTTTATTAAGGGAAATTAAGGGATATAATTTAGAAATAAGGAAATTATAAAGGATATAATTTAGGAAAAAATAAATTGAACTCAGAAAGAAAAAGAGAGGTAGGAAAGAATGATGAATAATGATTTGAAATACATAGGTAAATCTAAAAACACTGACTAAAAATATAATGCAGTACAGTAATGCACAAAACTGAAAATATTGAATAACTATAAAATGCTAAATATGGGTAGAGTAGCTATAATTAAAGTGTTCTGAAGTTCACATATAGTTTGGGAGAAGAATAATATGTTTATTAATTTTATATTTTGTTAAATGAAGTATGAGCATTACAATTGAGAAGTGAACACAAAAAGTAAAAAAATACAAACTATGATATAAAGGGGACCAAGATTGAGAGAAGGAGTAAAAAAATTATGTGACTACAAATTTCAAGAAGGAAGTTGGATGTGAAATCCATAGCTCAGTGGAAAAGTTAAGATAAACACTGGGGATTTTTATCACAAAGGTATATTTTCTGATATGGGAACTGGAGGGTGTCAGTAGCAAGACTGGAGGCTTTAGACCATAGTCTCAGCAGTTCAATACAAAGATTTATAAATGAAAACAAACTGCAATTTAGTTACATGGGGGCTTAGCAAAATGAGAATATTTCATTAAATCTTTACCAGCTCCCAACTATTGTCACACTTCCTGCCGGATCCCTAACAAATGAAATGGACTGGTTAATAGTTGGAGTCCATAAGATCGCCTTCTTTTCTCTATCATTTCTAGATTCATAATAATATCTTGTCAAGTTTGCCAATTTCAGCCAGTGATGTATTGTTCGAGACAGTATTTCTTAGAGCAAACTCCAGCCTTCTCTTTCTCCAGATTCTTTGCAGACTCTAAAATCCACATACTACTTTAGTAAGAAAAAAATGACATCATATTATTTTCCCTGTACTGTGCACTTTAGAAAAAGTCTATATAACAAATACACAATGAAGTTGCACTTTAACATTATTGTATTTACTCGCTTTTATACTATTTTACGAGTTTTAACTGAACAAGGAAAACTTCGATGGCTTCTTGATTAATGTGATGGGTTACTAGTAAACATAAAAGTATTAGGGACTTCAGCTCCAGTAGAATAGCAAGAAAAAAGTAAAGAAAATCATTAGAATCCCTTTAATTTTCAACAAAGTAGGACCATATAGATAATACTGCTTGAAACAAATGCAAAGGCAATGTCCTGCTCCAGTACATGCTTCATAAGAGTAGCCTGGGTAAAATCTTTCAAATTCAATGAATAAAATTTGCTAATGCAAAATCTGTGTATCAGAATGTTACAGTCTGGATTTATGAGGTGTTAGACTATTCTTTGTTAATCTCTAGCAGATATTATTGTGATTGTTTCAAAATTGAATTTGTAAAATTTTTACCTCTGGTGAGACAGTGTGACACATTTCCCTCATTTTCATTATTGTCTATATCTAGATTCTTTTTTTCAACTCTGAAAGCCTTTGGAAATCATATTGATATTTGTCCTTTGGCTTTTCTCATTGGAGATAATTTGCAATTTGCGAACACATTTTAAACACTACAGTTTTGCATGATTTTTGAATATTCAATCTCTGACCTAAAAATTAACAAATTTCCCACTAAATTTTCTCATTATTTTCATTGTATGTTCAATTCTAGTGTTTAGTAACCTCAGATTGGAGTATAAGGGCCTAATATAGAATTCACCTTTGTATTCTCTTTTGAGAAACAAAATATATTGAAGAAATGAAGCAGAAAAAGCAAGATTTAGAGAAAAATATTTACTTAAGAACACAGATGTTTTGAAACATTAAAAAAATCCCCCTGAAAATAATTGTTAAAAAGAAGATAGGGACAAATTATTGTTTAGACCAAGCTTTAATTTGGGGTTAGGGACACCCCAAATCTGTCCTTTTTAATCTTTCACTCTCAATTACAAGACTTAAAAACTTTAAACTTGAGTTAAGGGCAATTTTTTGGTTTTGTACAATG